CACTCCTTGCTACTGTCCTTGAGATTTCCCTGTTTTTTGTCACTCCATCTGCCGTGGTCTTTCAGTGCATCCAAAACAGCCAGAGGAGCAGCCCCAGCAGAGCACATTAGCCTGGGCTGGATACAGTGCGGGACCCCTCCGTTAACACCTGCATGGTTCGTGGTGGATAAAAACAGAGACCTAACACGTCTTTGCAGTGTTTCAGGTGCATGATTATTTCTTTTTATATGCATGTGTGTAAAACGAACACGTTTGCTTAATTTAAATTAAAATCATGCCCGTGAGCCGTGCGCAGTGGGACGCAGCGGGGAGGCAGGGTCAGTGCTAAGCACAGCTCTTGTGGCCACATCGGGGTGCCGGCCCTTTCTCCCTGGCCACAAGACTGAGCACAACCATCTCTGTGTGCAGGGGCCGTAATCCTCCCGTTTACCAAACTCCTTGTGTTGCTTCGTCGAGAGCATCTGAAAATGGCAGCTAATCAGACTAGGCAGAAAAATAAAAAAGAAAGAGTAGCAAAAGAGATAAATAGGATGAATATGATGAGAATTGATGGCTTTTTAGTGAAGCCTTGAAGTGACCTGGCCTTCTGTTGTGCTCAGAGATGCTCATCAGCTCCTCTGAAATAACGGGCAAGTGACCAGCTGCTAACTCCTGAATGTCAGAGCTCCCAGATAGGCTTCTGAATCCATGCTTGGCCACGGGGACACCCATCTCAAACTGATCTCAAATCCACACCACTTTTTCCTGCGTCCTTACTGATGCAGGGATCTCCAGAAGCTCCTGTTTGGGAAAAGGAGACTTCAGAACAAGCCAAAACCTTAAGCGGCGTCAGTAGAGTCTCAGCAAATGGCTGCAGTTTTGATTCTTGCACCTCCCGTAAAGGCCAAAGCAAACTCCACAGGCTCCCCCAATGAATTATAAAAACTATTAAAGAAAGTAAACAAACCTTAGCAGCAGGAAGTATTATCAACAATGAGGTATTACTATGTTTTAAAAGGACCCTTCAACACCATTTTCTTTAATAACTACAACGTTTTATGCCTTAGCCCTCTCCCCATTTTCTAGCATGCAATCAAAGCCACTTTTTTATTGCTAGAAGAAACACTGAAGCCATTGGGGGAGAAAAGGAGGAGGGGAGCATGAAGAATAAAAATCAGAGTGAGCTAACAGGAAGGGGAAGTTGTTTCTCTTTTTAAGAGATCTCTCTTTGAGCTAAACCTATGGCATGTCTTGCATGCAACTGCTCAGAAAACCTGGTTATGCACGAAGGGGCTGTCAGCATTTGCTGCTAACATTGCACAGCAGTCGCTCTGCATCTTAGCTACAATTGATTTAAAGCTGCTTGAGCATCCTCACCATTCCAATTAGTACCCTGTTTCTTGCCTCTGGTGTCCTTGAAATATTCATGGGTGCCTCCTTTTTCTGCCTTTTCCCATTCACCCTCCTGCCTTACTATCTTAGGCCTACTACTACTACTACTACTATGTTTTTAAGGTTAAGCCTTCTGTTTGTGCTGCTGGTAGCACAGGGCTTTCAAATAGGATTTTTCTTTCTATTTTTTGCTTTCTCCAGACTGCATGAATAATCATAGGACTGCAGCATGGTAATGTTTCTCTTTGTTACACTTGGTTGTTAGATGTCATGCAAAGATGGATTCAAATTCATTGGAGCCAAACTGAGAAAAACTTTGGATCTACCCTAGAGAGGCATCACTTGCATCCCCCCAGAGCAGGCTGCTTTGCTTTGCTTTGTTGTCCTCTCCTTCACAGCAGGAGTCTTGGGAATCTTGAATTTGTCTGTTGGGGTAAAATTCAGGAAGGAAAAAAAAAAAAAACAACAACAACCAAAATAAAAAAAAAAAAAAAAAAAAAAAAAAAAAAAAAAAAAAAACCAACTCCAAAGCAGCTGCAATGTCATTTTCAGCTTCTGGAATGAAGCACAGCAATGATGTATTTTTGCTCAATTTGCCTGATTCTCATCACCCCCTGTGGGTTTCCCCAGGCTGCCGGAGAAGCCCGGGGAGCTTCCTCAGCCTTTGTTCTCCCTCCTTAATTGCAACTTGCAGGGAGACTGGGGAGTGGAGTGGGAAGAGCAAGTCTTGCCAGCTTGAAAAATGAGGCGGTGTTTTTGCACAAGGGAAATATGGGAAACGGCTCCATGTTTTTACAAAGGGAGGCAATAATTACAGTGTCATGAACAGGGCCGTGCAGGCCGGGGGATTCTCTCGGTGCCCCTCTAATGCTGGATGAAGAGCCGGCGCGCCGTATTTCAGGAACTAAGCAGGCCATTGGGTTTAAAATTGCTTAGGCTTAGCCGAAGACATCCAAACACAGTCTCTTGCTCTCCAGGGCAAGCACCCAAGGACCTGCACTCAGTGTGCGTAGAGTAATGCAGTGCAGGAAGAAATCCAATTCCTGAGCTAATTAGCGCTTTGGACGAGTGTTACTGACCAAATTGAAAGCAGGAAGCCACTGGAGGAAAGCCCAAATTGCCCATCAGTCCCCCAGGTTCGCTGTAAGAGATCCTAGTTGACAGCCAAAAGCCCAGGAGCAAACATAYACCTCCTTTGGTGGTAAGGCACAGCATATTATAATGTAGTGCCATGCAAATTCTTGTCAACTTTAAGACAAGACAAGCGTACCTTTGGTTGCTGATAGTTGTTGGAGACTTTAAAGACCCGAGTGGGTTGACTGATCGAGTTGATTCAACTAAACTAAATTTCAGGACAAAAGTGGTTCACTCTTGCTTTGTTTTACAAACTGCCTATATTACCCCAGGTTTTCATTTCTTTCATAAGAAATGAAAATGACTGTTCAAAATACCTGGATTATTTTTTGTTTGTTTATTCGTTTTTCCCTGGTACTACCTGGAAAAAAGCAAACCTTTTTGTATCATCTCCTGTCCTGGAGCCCATGTTTTCCCTGCTTAAGTCGACACTGTGCTTGGAATGGAGGAGAAAGCCACAGCTGAGGCTGGTCTCGTTTTGTTTGAGAGAGCTGTTCGGTTTCCTTCCCTTCTTCCCATTCAGGCTGCATTGTCCAGGTCCTGAAGCACTTGTAATTTTCCCTAATTGTTTCATGCATCTCTCAAAAAGACAAAGGGAAGTAGCAGAGGTGAGAAGCAGGAGAAACGGAGCCAGAGCTGCAAAAGGATTCCCACTTACGGAGATCGGGATTTTCTGAAATATTGCTTGATTTGTATCTGTCTCTCAATATGCCTCAAACAGAGATGCTTTATGGGTTGTTAAAAAGAATGGAGTAAAGAATAGTGTTGACTTGCACCTCATACTGGCACACTGATTTCAGAGGGGCTGAAAGTTAATAAGGCAGCTGATAATCTTAAAACATACCCCTTTTTGAAATCAGCAACTTTTCTCTGCTGAGAATAGAAAATTGATTGAATTCCATAACCTCATCTTTATGCCAGCCCTTTTGTATGTTGTAATTGAAGGTGCGTGTGTGTCAGGAGAGAGGAATTCCCGCAATCTTTTTGCCGTTAGATCAGTCTTTATATTCAGAATTGCCTGAAGAGCCCCCCCGACATAACCATTTTCTGTTGCATAGGAACTGAAAATTGCAGTTACAATAGGCTGAGCCAACCAGAGGCAGCAAGATAAATAATGCATCAAATTGACTGTTAATGTATGTAGAWCATGTGCCGGTCTTAATTATAAATAATTCTAATTAAGTAGCATACTCTCTCCAACTCTATTTCTTCCAGAGTGAAACCCCACTCTTTTTAGGGGAAAATCAGTAGCCTGTAGGGAGTAGAGGCAAAGCAGTTTTGTTCCTCTTCTGTCAAGGAGGTGGAAGCCACTGTATAAATTTCTGGTTGCTCAGTTTTCTGCAGCCTTCTGCGGGGAGATGGAGGCTGGATGAAAAGGCTTTCTCACATTGGGAACATCAGTAAAATTCTTCTCCCTGAGCATCAGCATTAGCTTATGACTTCAGATCAGAACCTTCCAACCTGTTAAACAGCTTGTATGGAGTCAAGGAGTCCTGGGAACCAATGCTGAGCTGAGGGAAGTTACGGAAATGCAGAGTCCAAGGGGGATGTTCTCTGTTGTGCTTCAAAGTCTGTGGGTTTGCACCATCCTTGTGCTTATCTATGGCACTTATCTGGTCTGAAAGCCCCTTGTATAGGCAGGGCAGACCCTGCCTGCCTGCCAGTGACTTAATCACTCATCAGCTTCTGGCTTTGTAGGTGTCTTTCATTATAGGCAGACATAAAGACTCAGCCTATCTTGCAGCTGCCTTGTATTTTTTGACTGGTTTTTGCTACGCTCATTATCCTCCAGTAGGACTATGAAAATATTGAATAGGGAAAATGTCATTAGTAGGGGGGAGAGTCACCATGTGTATGAAGTAACACCCTGGTGTTCACTCTCTTTCAAGAGATAAGGATGAGCAGGGACTCCCTCATTGATGCCTAGTTAAATAAGAAACTTTTTTCTTTTTTTTTTTTTCTTCTGAGATATTATACATATACAGGTCTATTCCCAAACAAAACCAAAGTCCCTTGAGTCCAGCTATTTTCCTTAAAGCTTGGTAAGAAAGAAAGACTAATTTAGTAATCTTTGTATTCAGTATTTGGGTAGCATCTGGTGGGTCTGCTTCTGGAGCCAGCTTAAATATTTTGGTATATAGAGTCTTTGTGTATTATCACAGATGCTGACTTCTAATGGACTCTGCTACATGCTGAGTTACCTTGTACATGAATAGCCCCCACAAGAAAGAAAATGGGAAAGAAGGAGCTTGAGAAAAGAGAGGAGGTGAAAAAGACGCTTTGGTTTCATGTGCTGAAGAGCTGCTTCAGCAGTAGCAATAGGAGCTGCAATAACTGAATGTGTCTGCTTGAGTAAACCAGTTGACAGAGGATGAACTGCATAATGACACAAATATAGGATGAGAAAATATGTTAAAAAGAGAAAAAAAGTAAGGGAGAATCTTGCTTTAAAAAAAAAAAAAGGAATTGGCTGTACAACGTGTCTTTATTTCCAGCACCAAAAGGTCGGACCATTCCAACACAAGACTGGCAATTCAGATCGAGAAGGATGCAGGTATGGCCTGGGAGTTTGGGGTTTTGCTTGCTTTGGAAATCGCCCTGTGTTCCTTCTCTGAGGGACTGCCTGGGAAGTTGGYGAGGCAGAGTGCCTAATTGTGTGAATGAAGCAGAGCATTTTAGATGTAACAGAGCCTCTGGTTAAGTTGTGCAACTTGATAAGTAAATTCACTCTTCAGTTAGGTGGAAGCGATCAGATTGCCACTGGGCTGTGAAGCTCGAGGTTAATCATAAAATTTGTGTTTGTGTGGAGCACATAGCAGAGAAGCTTGCTGATCTGTCAGCAGGGTCAGCCTCGGTGAGGCGACTGCTTCARAAGAAAGAAGCAGGTGATGCTGCCCCTAAAACCAAGCAGTTCAGTCTGAGGGTATCTCCTCTTCCCTGGGGAGAAACCCTTGTGGAAAAGGCAGAAAGCGAGGGAAGGGAAATGAGGAAATTTGCAGGTGGAGTAAAAGAAAGAAGGAAAGCTGATGGGCTTCTCTTCCAGCTAATGATCCATGAAATGAGCTCTAGCACACGGCAATCTAAAGCACCTTCCTTTACTGCACCAGGTAATTCCAGACACTCAAAATGAGGATATTTTATGTCAAGCCAGTGGACATGGAGAGCAGGTGATAGCCAACTTGGTGCTGTTCATCACTTTTCCAGGAAAAACTGTTATCAACCGTTCATGCCCAATCCTGGTCCCAGTAAGAGAAGCCAGGATTTCATATCTGTATTCCTTTAATGTTCGGCAGCTGGTTTTATTTTATCACTGAGGTGCCAGGGGATTTCATGGTGGAGGTAGAAACTTGTACTGTAATTAATGTTGTTACATTGCATTTTTATCCTTCCTTTTTGGATGGATAAATTAAATTGGCATGACAAGAAAAAATACCCCTTTAGCAGAAATGAGTATAACGCAAGATGTCCAAGATGACAAAGGAGATAAGACCAGTTCAAGTCATATATTTCTCTTTCATTATTCATCATTTTAAGGCAGAGAATTAAATGTTTCACGTGTTCATTCTGTATTTGGGTAGCAGTAATCCTTGCCATTATTATATATGCCAGTGATTATTTGTGTTTTAAAATCCACTGCTAAAACAAAGAGTTTTCTTTGTGTGTGCACGTGTGCGTGCTTAAAAGCTTCTTTTTCTAACTAATTTAAGTTTATACTACACACCTGCATATGTGTGCAGGCCAGGGCTGGATGCACGACAATGGTGAGGGGCTGCGTGGTCAAGTGCCTCCTCCTCCTCTTGTCTAGTGGAGCATTTGGAAGGGGGAACTAGAGGAAGAAACTTCATTTAGGAATAAAGAAGAACGTAGGATTCTATTCAGAATGGCTTAGTTCATTGTAAATGTAATTTTTTTATGAATGTGTGCTGCTCTGGTTGTAGGAAATGATGATAATAATCTCAACTCCATTTTTTATGAGCATTTGACAAGATCTCTGCAGGAGTCTCTTTGTGGAGATTTGATACTGGGCCGCTGGGGAAACTACAACACGGGAGACTGTTTTATTCTGACATCGGATTATTTAAATGCCTTTGTGCACTTGATCGAAATTGGAAATGGCCTTGTCACCTTTCAGCTCAGAGGGCTGGAATTTCGAGGTAAGGATCTGCGTCCCTGATGATTTAAACAACAGAAAAGGAACCACAAATTGTCTGGCTTCCTTAATCTATCACAACTCTATAGTGGGGCATACAGTTTAAAGACCTCTATCTCTCTCTAGGTATCTGTTTTTCTGAAGGTTCTGTATTTCTTTCTATCAGTATTTGAATGACAGTGCTGTGAAACTAATGTTTAGAAATGAGTACTCACGTTCTTATCATAAGACTTCCAGAAAGAAAATATGGAGTTGTTTTCTTGGTTCACAAGTCTTACAGATTATGCTTGGTCTTTTTTTGGGTGGGGGATATTTTTTCCTTTGAAAACATGAAGACTGAAATTCCTCTGAAAATTTTTCAACCTTTAAAACTTGCCTTGAAAAAAGCACCAAATATCATGAGACAGTCCATTGAAAATGCTGTGGGTTAAGATTAGGCAAGAAGCTAGTGCTGAGCTTGGACAGTAGAAAAGGGACACTTCCAAAGGCCTGAGATGTGTTCAACTACAGACACCAGGCTACAATTAGGGCTTAGTTTATGGCATACAACGAAGTGAAAACCTGCTAGAARGCAGCACCCTGCTCACTTACCGTAAGGAGAGACCTGATTCTTGGGTGAGGATTTCATATTTCTTTTATTTAGGAGGTGCTGATTCCTAGTAGAAGAGACCTACTCAGCAGTTTCCTCTGAGGRGACCTTCCTCTTTATGGAAAGATGCTTGCATCCCTCTCCTAGGTACTGTGGCATATTGTAAGACCAGTTGCTCATAGCTTCTCACTCCTGACTTTTCACCTGTTGTTGTGAGGTAGGGAGAAAAAATGGAAATAAAACTACAGAGCTTTATGAATAGTTCTTAAACTCTCTGTTTTACTGCAGTACTGCTAGCATACTGGCTAGCAGTGATTGTGGCTTGGGTTTGTAGCCTTTCAAAGATGCCACTTTGGAATTGCAAATGCCTGGAGCTTTGAAGCCCTAGAACATCTTCTCAGTCCCTAGGACTGAGCATCTAATGGACAGCAAGTATAGGAATGTATAATCAAGGCAACGTATCAGCGAGGCTGAGTATGAGGAAATAGGAGACAGGCCAGCTCTCTGACTGCGCTTTGCTGTAAGAAGGTYTGACTCATAAAAATGTGTGTGTGGCTTCAATTTTGGCTTTGTGGCAGACTTCCAGTAGGTTTACAGGGAAGTTGTGAATACTTGATGCTTGATTACCTTTTCTGAGGAAAGAGATGTAGAAAGCAGAGTAAATATCTGAAAGCTGTGTATATATTGTGGTGCCTGGTGAGGCACCTATTCAGAACAGAGCCWAACTGTAAGAAAAAAAACAACTGGAAGAGTAAAGGAGAGAAAGCATTTGTTTAAATGCCCCACGATTTCTTGTTTGTGAAGATGGTGACACATGTCTGGCTGTGGCTTTTTTTTCAGCTTCAAAGACATGTGCAAGGATTATCTTCTCTTGCGCCCCAGGGTAAGCAGTCATGCTCTGTGATAGAGATAGGTTAAGTACCTAATAGAAGATATCGGGGTGAAAATTTTAGCTAGATTTGGTATTTACTCCACTTGCTTTCATACAAGGGCAGACAAATGCAGATTTATGTTGCTCTCCAAGAATGGTTAAATGCTGCAGCAATTCAAATACTATTTTTATTTTTTGAGACCGTGAGCCTTGCATTTGCAGTGCTTAGGCAGCTCACAGCCTTTTTTTTCCCCCAATGAAAACTCCATGAATTCAAAAAATGGTTTATTCATTTCTGCAGATCTGTAAATAAGTAACTTCCAAGAGGGTGTTGTGTATGTTAAAACAGTGACAAATCTTGGAAACTTTTGACTTTTTTTTTTTTTTTTTTTTTTTTTTTACTTTCGTTGAGATTTTTGGATACCAGAACCATGCACATTTCCACTATGTCCCAGTGGAATTGCATAACATTATCTTGGCTAATCATCCCTTTTTTTTTTTTTTCTTTTTTTTTGGTAAAGTAGTTCATTGCAGAATTTGAAAGAGATGGAAGAAAGAAATCTCATTGTCATGCTTAAATTGGATGAGTTTCTTTTGTAGGTGCCCCTTGCTACTGGGTCCCTCTCAATCATGACCACCCCCAGGCAGCTCAGGAAAAGATAAAAGTAGGAAATGCAGATGAAAATTATGAGAAGATGCTCAAACCTTACCTAGTTAAATAAAAAGATCTGGGTCTAACAGACAGACCTAATGAGATGAAGGCAGTGGTTTGGAAAAACTCAGCTTGGTGTTGAGCCAGCGTTTTTCAGATACGAATCTGAGAGTAAAGCTCAAAACTTGTGTCACCTGTCAAGACACTTCTGTATTCTGTAAAATCACAGTTTATTTAACCAAATGGGGACTGAAAATTGACCTTTCTGTGCTGGTTGCCTATGAAAGCTGAACTGAACGCCTTGTAGGTTATAAAGTCAAGTAACAGTTGTTAATTGCACTACGTTTAACATTTCCCATGTTAAGAAACCTCATTTCTTCTGATTTGTGCATCTGTCTTAAATTCTTCATTTAAAATTTCTGGTCATATACCACTTTTTTTATGTGGGGCACTGATTTAATTCATGACAGAATGGCTTCCTACAAAAAAAAAAAAAAAAAAAAAAAAGCCTAGAGGAAGAAGTTGAAATATGAAATTTCTGAGTTTTACCTACTTGACTCCTAGTTTCATTTCAAAAATGCAATTTTAATTGAAGCCCCTAAAAAATCTGCAGTCCTTTAAATAGGAAGTCTGTTTGCTTGGGAAATGAGTGAATCATAGCAGTGTCCTCTGTATGTGGGACTGGCTTTCTGTTTTGAGTAAACCAGGGGCAATATTTGCGTTGTGGCGCTCTGAATTTTGCTGTGAATATTTGTGACTGCTGTAGCTGAAAAGCCAGGCTGGTGATTCTGCCATAACACTGCCTACAGCAAAGGTCACAGAGTCTTCTGAACTGAAGTTTGCTGAGGAGAGGAGCTATTGCTTCCCCTGCCTGCAGTCTAACCTAATTAACAAGTAGCGCTCGATGTGACTTTGATCCAGATTCCTTTCTAACTGCAGCTAATAGGTGCCCTCGGCCCAGCTTTGATCTGAAAAAGATCTTGGCGGTCAGGGAACGAAGACATCGAAGACATCGTGCAATCTGGAAGCAGCTGGTCAGCAAAGCAGGGATTCCTCTTGCCTCCCTTAAGCCCTGCTTAAGTTAAATGTGCTGCCCCAGGGGGCTCTTCCCCCTCCTCTCTGAGGCCAGCAGAGGGAGAGGCAGCAGGAGGAGCAGGGATGAGGCTCTGAGGGGCCAGCACACGGGTGTGGGGCAAGCAGGCCCTTTGGGAATTGGACTGTATGCAGTGTTAGCGTGCCGGAAGAAATACGTGACATATGTCACTTAATTTGGAGGGAAGAGATGGGAGAACCCATAATCAGGGAAAGGCTAGAAAGAATGTGAAAACAGGTAGGTCCAGGGAGTTTCCTGTCCAACAGGGAAGGCTTTACATATTTTTCCTGTTTAGTCTGTGCCTCAACAAAATGTCTTTTGGAGAATATCCAGTTCGGCATAGCCTGTGTGGAAATCGTTTATGGATGGTGATGCTGATATCTCGAGGTGCCGTTTTCTTACTCACTCCCGATGTTCTTCAATCATATAATTAGCACTGAAATCCCTGCTGTGGTTTTTGTTCCTGAATRTTGCACGTACAATGTTCATGCTCCACTTGGAAGGTCGTTAGATGAATCCAGGAGAGGAGCAGGAGCCGGCGCAGATGCGACTGTACACGGCGACAGGCAGCTGCGCTGAGGTCGCCCGTGGGGCTTTCTCTGTATTAGCCAGTTTATTTCCTATGCAAAATGGTTTATGAACACAGCCAGTCTCAAGTATACACTGCAGGAGCAGTAATGATCTCTAAGAAATAAGAATAGATGTCTAAGAATAAGAATTTCAGTGGCGTAGGTGCACATGGTATAGTTTTATTGCAATAGAGAGCGCATTACCACTGTAAGGAATGTTTGTTGGTGTTTGATTGCTCTGTGACACCAACAAGAACAAATCTTTTTTGAAAGAGGGGGTACARCTTTCACTTTCTGCTTCTAACAATCACTTAATGCTGTTGGACAATGAAAGTGCCCTTCTACGTGTCATTTCTGAGAGAGACCACGGCTGAATACGTTCTGTGTATGCAACAAACTGTCAAAAAGATAGTGACAAATTAAAAGCAGCTCAGGGAAGAGCGGCCATTTTAAAGCACATCTCCTCTGAGAGCGGGTTAAAAGAACTCAATGTGCTTTGGTTCAGTGGGAAAGAGCAAAGGCTACGAGATGAGAAGCTTAAAAAAATAGACACATCAGAGAGGTTGCAGAGGGATTTTAATGGGAAAGAATGGTTTCAAACAGGAAAGAGGATGCTTTGGGTTGGATGTGGGAAATCCAGTGAAATGGTGGAATCTTTTAGGTGTATAGCRGTAATGTTCCAGCAGTGGAAGCCTTCTATGAATTTCAAATAGCCATTTTAGTTTCCCTAGTGTAGGTTAGGATAAGTATTTGTTGTCTTTTTTTCACGTTTCCTCCCTTTCCCAATTGTGTATGTCTGTACGGGAGTATTGTAGAAGACTTATTGAAGGAAGGAAAATGTTGGATGCCTAGCAGCCTTTTTATTGAGAAGAGGCCTATTTCAAAAGCCATGTTGCATTCTACATTGCATCTCTGGAGAAGTGATATGTGGGGTTCTCAAGGATTTGTCCTTTGCCAAGGTCCTTAGGGAATGCTTTCTTTCACCATAGGTTCCATAACGTATCTGTGCAGACAAAAAAGAGGAAAGATTTTTGAGAAGAGATGGTGCCTGCTGCAAGACCAATTGAGCTAGGTARAAAAAAAAAAGAATATTTTTAAAGCATGAAAGCACCTGAAGTAGTCAAAAAACAAACCACAGTTCCATAACTAGTAGGTTTAATGTTTGAGGTGTCAGTAATGGTTTGAGTTTTGCTTTCAAGTTGTTTGAAGTTGTTGAGACTATTATAGCCT